CCTACTGTCATACATAGCCCACAAATTTGGCAGATTTTTGGAAGAGAACAAAAACCTCCAAAACCTGTTTGACCAGAAACAATAGCAGGATGAGTGTGCACACCACAGGTAAGAAAGCCTCTATCACATTACTTTAAGCCCTGTGGAAAACTGCCTTTAGACCACCTTATAAAGTGCAGCATTGCATTGTCTGTGGCCTTGTATGTTCAGTTCTGAATAAGAATGAGATGTATAGCAGAGCACTGAGAACCATTCTTTTACCTGATTGGTTCAGCTGGCTTCACACATATTGTCTAGCCATTTAAATGTTCTCACAACTATGTGGAATCCACTCATGGATAAAAAGTTTTCAGCTGGGAGGGGGGTGTTTAAAGATAAAGATGTCCTGACACAATGCTACATGGCACAGAGTAAGATGGCCATCAGTGTTCCATAGCTGTCCCACTCCATAGCTGCAGTGAAATGTGCAATGGCTATGAGAGATTCAAGGACAAAGAAAAACAGGAATTCAGAGATGGGGATATACCTGATAAAAAAAGCATTGGCATTACTCCATCCATTTCCCCTTGATCAGGTCTCCAAACATCAACCACCCTCACTCCAGCTGCCATGTAGTTTAAACCTCTGAAGTCAATACCCAGTAGAATAACGTGGCAAAGAAGACAAACGGCGCATTAGAGATTCCTTTCACATGATGAGATATTTGCATGTAGAAATTGAGAACAACCAGCTTCACTGCTCATAGAAAATTAGGGAATCATATGCCAATTTCAAAGTAAATCAAACCAATATAGTGTTAAAACTGCTGAACAGAATGTTTTGGGCAGAACAACAGACCGATAACAAGGATTGCAGTAAATCCATAGATGTATTAGATGTTGTGGAAACATCTAATTACTGAAACATATACAAAAGTTGAAACAGTCAATGAAAACTATGAGGAAAACAGAAAATCAATGTACACTGCATCTTTCCGTTTTACCTTTATGCACAGAATTGAAATATAGCTTCTACGTTGGTGAGCCTCACAGTGGCTCCCGCTCCATTAATTCTGAGTGCAAACAGCAAAATTTTACATTGCCAAAGCTCTAATGAGATATTATTCTTTTTGCTGAGGGGGGGGGATTCAACTTACGAGACACAGTTGTGGAGAACAGTACATGAAGCTTTACTGAGAGTGATGATGAGAATACAGCTAAAGTTGCCAGTTTGCCAGAAATCCATGTACTGTTCAGATTCTAGAAATGTCACCCAATGCCCATTTATTGCATCTGCTGTCCCAGACTGGTGGTCTTCATTGTTATAAAAGTCTCTGCCTTACCATGTCAGAGAGGTAAGGAAAATATGCACACTCACTTGAGATGAAGTTCCACTGAAATAAACTGAGCTGCCCAAAACAACCATAAAGGTAAAGGTATCCCTTGCTTTTAGGCCAGTCTAGCAGTTTAGGCCAGTCTTGCTTGAAAGCCAGTCTAATCCAACTCTAGGGGGTGGTGCTCATCTCCATTTCCAAGCTGAAGAGCCAGCGCTGTCTGAAGACTTCTCCGTGGTCATGTGGCCGGCATGACTGGATGCCGAGGCACACGCTGTTACCTTCCCACTGAAGCAGTACCTATTTATCTACTTGCAATTTCTTGCTTTCGAACTGCTAGGTTGACAGGGGCTGGTGCCAGAGAAGGGAGCTCACTCTGTCATGCGGTACACTCGGGTCTCGAACTGCCGAACTACCAACCTTCCAGTCTGCAACTCAGTGTCTTAACTTCTGAGCCACTGCAGCCCCTAAAACAACCAAATTTACTCCCAAATAGATGTGCATAGGATTGCTAATTTACTACAGTACTTCCTAAGTATATTTACGGTGAGTCAGTGACACTGGGTTTAGCGGTTTCTCCCTAGTAAGTGCACATAACATTGCAGCCTATGGACTGATGCTACAGGCTAATTTTGTTAACTCCTCTGCAAAGTATTTTAAAAACACTGTTTTATTGTATTTTATAAATGATAGGATTAAAAACAACAAAACAAATGAAAACCTAGTCCCATATGACCCCTCTCCAAAGCTCATCCAAATAAAGATACAATAGCCTGCAAGCATCAAAATCATGACCAGTTACAAGCAAACCACCAGTACACCAGGCTTGGATCCAGCAGAGGATTTCCATGAATGCAAATGATTTTTGCAGATTCTCCCCTTGTACTTCAATGGGAGCCCTGTGTTTCCTAGGAGCAATATTTGGGACTATAGCAAGACTGGGGCAGATGTCCTGCTGTGTTGACAGAAATCTCTTGTATTACCAGCGAATCCAAGCCATGATATGAAATTGCTGTCCAACTGCACTCTACGGGTTCGGTTTAAAATGATCAACCAGGTGACTCATGACAAAACATTCCTCAGTGGAAGCTCTGTTCTTGAATGAGAACTTGGAGCAGGTGATAATGACTCGTCCCAATGAGGTGGAAGACTTCTGTTTTCTGAGGATCTGATGTGGGTAATAGATCTGCTGTGTTGCCAGGGACCCCTTCCCAGATGCGTGCTGTATCTTGGTTAAATTCCCTTTGGCAACCATTTTAGGAGCTAGTCATGCCATGCTTTGGGGAAGGTGAGGTCAAGACTCTCCTCAGGCTATTCTAATGAGTGACCAAACTTTGGGTGGGAGATTGATTCACTGATGGGACATCAGCACGTCTGCCCTGATATCACCACAGGGGCTTGCACTCACCAAATCTATCAATGTAATTTCATTAGCAAGGAAAAGTCTTCCTGAGTACAAAATCTAATTACTATCAATCAGCTAGGTGGGCTTGATTGCTTTTACTGATCTTGTCTGAATGTCTTTTACCAACCTGCAGGCATGGGTTAAGCATCCACCTTGCTAGACCTTTTGTCCACCCTGCCTAGATGCTGTCACCTTTCGTTACATTTCTGGGAAGCCCCCCTTCCTAATTCAGTCAAAGTCAGGTAACACAGAGACCGATTTCACACAAGAGCTGTGCCGTGGTCACGCCTCCCTTTGCCCCACTTCTATTGGTCAATTTCCCACTTGAAGCCGTGCGGCTGCATTTTGACCCACGGCTGCGCCCAATTTTCCCTGCGGTTTCATGATCCTCAAAAAACAGGATCATGAAACCGCGGGGAAAATCAGGGGAAGCTGCGGGTCAAAATGTGGCCGCATGGCTTCGAGTGGGAAATTGACCGATAGAAGCAGGGCAAAGAGAGGCGCGGCCGCAGCACAGCTCTTGTGTGAAATTGGTCCCAGAGTTTCATCCTGGATTCACTCTGAAATCCTGGACTTTACAATTATTTCTTTGGTATTCTGTTGTGCTGGCTCCTATAACTATCACTGTTCTGCCAGCCAAAATTGTGCAGTCTCACCCCTCTGCTGGCTCAGAGGCTGCCAACTCCACTCTTCTCTTCTGGAACCAGAAAATCTTTTTACTATTTCCTTTGGAAATGCTGCCTAAAGTTTTTTACACATTTTCTGGACCATCTAAACCAGACATGTCTAGCACGTGGCCTGAAGGCCAGAAGTGGCTCTTCCAGGGCTCTTATCCGGCCTGCAAGCAACAGGGAGAAAACTGGTCCAAATGAGGACTGGAAGGGCCTATATTAGAGCATTATACCCCCCCACACACACACTGAGGTCCCTGCCTTCCCCAAACATGGGCCCTCCCCAGGGTCTTCCCCCAGATCTCCATGGATTGCCCAGCCCAGAGTTGGCAACCATAAGGGGCCTGCCTTCTGTCCCTGGCCAAGGCACATGGTCAGGATTCACTGCCTACTTCTGCCTCCTCCTCTTCCAGCCCGAGCACATTGGGCTCCTGCGCCTGCCACCCAGGCTGCTGGAAAGATGGCTGTCTGTTCATGTGCGGCAGGCCGAACCTCTTTGGCCCCACTTCCCCAAGCCCAGTCGAGCAGCTTCCCACTTGCAGGCAGCCCAGGGAAGGTGCCCACAGGCACAGGAGCCCGTGGAAAGCCATCGGGCTGCTCACCAAACGTGCCCACTTATGTAAGCATGTGAACAGAATGACTGGCCAGGCTTGGCACACTGTGCACAGCAGCCCAGGTGAGAGGGAAAAGCCCAATACTTTTGCCATGTGTGCGGAATACCGAGGATCCCCAACTCCTCCTTCATGGCCAGTCTCTGCCAATTTCTGCTACAGAATTTTCACTCAGCCAGAGGCCTGGCTTTCTTTGACTCTCTCTCCTCTCATGAAACTCTTTACATACATGTCCTCCTGAACACAACACTTTCATGTTCTTATGCTTGAATACCTTTCCAATTCCTGTACCCCTATATTTCCCTCAATAAATTCTAAACCTAGCTCTGGAAAAGATCTAGTTGTTTCATGGTTACTGGTAGCCTATTAGAGGCACTTTGAGCTTGCTTGTATGCTATCCAGGTAAAGATTCCCCCTAATTGGCAAGTGTCAGTTTTCCAAACTAGCCAGATTGTGGAAGGGCAAAGCACAAATTCCTAACACTGGTTGCAGTTCTGGGAGAATGTCTTGAACCCAAGTTAGAAAGTCCACAGGTATCTGAGAATGCATGTGAAAGGGAACACATGTGGTAACAGCTGCTTTGTAGGAATGTCTTTTTTCCTTTTTTCCCTCTGCTCTTATCTCTTTTTTTTTTTTTTAAAGGGAGAAACTTTCCAAAACCTTACCAAGTCCCAGTGCTCTTTCACCAAATCCAGATAGCATTACCCTTAGAACTTCTAATTTCATGGAAATTATGTTCCTACTCAAAGTTTCCCTGTTCATAATTATGTTCCTACTCAATTATGTTCCTACTCAAAGTTTCCCTGTTCATAAGCAAATGAATGGATAGCACACTTCCATACCATTTATCTGTTCACTTATTTTGCTTGCCATATAACAAGACCTTGGTCATCATCATTTTCACCATTGTGATTTCCTCTAGTTCTAGTATCAAAGTGAATTCAAAGTTTTAAAGATTCTTCCAGTCAATATTATTTTACAGTAATCAAATGTTTGCCTACCCTTGCCAAAGTCAGTGTGCCTTGCTTGCACGATTTGCACCGGACCCGCAGTTTTCCATGTGTAACAGCCTGGCAGGAACTTTTACAGTAAACATAGAAATTGCTGTAACTAGCAGTATCTGTTGAGAAAGAAGAACAAGTAAAAATGTATATATTATTAGCAAGAACGTGTGGTGTTTGAGAGTGAAGAAAAACAAGAACTCTGAAGAACAAATTCAAGAGCACATTCCTCAAGCAGAATCCTAGAATGAAGCTTCACAAGGTAACAACCATTTAAGACAGGTATCCGTATACCCAGATGATTGAAATATATTCTGCTTTATTCTCTGTAACAGGGAGGTAGAGTATCTCTTGGAGCATTACCTCTATTATCTCCCACACACAATAACCTCCTCTCACATCCTTCACATCTTCACAGACACATATGTAGCTTAGACAGGCAATCTACCCTAACATGTAGAATTGACACTTCCCTCCCAGTGAGTTTCAGAGAGCAAGATGTGGAGAAGATGGGAGTCTGACACAAGTGCTAGTGAAGTCATAGGGCCTGGAGGTTTCAAGGCCAGGAAACACAAGGGAGATTCACCTACACATTCCATCCTGTTAGCACAAGGATCCCTGGTCCTTTTCTGCCAGCAGGGGGTGGGAGCTTCCCAGGAGTGGGGTGGAGGCATGATGATGTCATGTGGACGTGACATCATCACACCAGGAACATCATGTAGAGAACCAATACTTGTAAAAGTGCTTTAGGTTAGATATTTAACTTTTATTATTTTATTTTTGCCGTTTACTGCTCTTATAGTGCATATCTCTGCACATGCCTTTAATAACCCTTATTAATTATATTTTGTGGTAATCTTGGTTTTGGAGCATCAATCTGAATCCAGTACTTTAGCACTTCATTGGCTACAGCTACCAGAGTAATTATTTTGTGAAACTCAGCTTGCTTCTGTCCCACCTTGCAAGGCTGACTTCTTGATTAAGACCCAGTAGGGCAGGAGATTTCCCTTGGCCTCTTGGCTGAAGGGTTAGTTAAAGGGATTGGTGGTAGCTAGTTACCCTGAGGTTGTGAGGATTCATCCCCTCGCCCAGCCTTTTGCTGTTTGCTCATGCCTAACCTGCCACCTTTAGGGAATAATTCTTTGACAGTAAGCCCTAGAAGTACTCTGCTTCCATAATATATATTTTGTTTTTATTTATTTATTTTTCATATTTATATCCCACCCTCCCCAGTGGGCTCAGGGCGGCTCACAAGGGCAAGGTAAAACCGAGCCATAATGAAAACATATAATACAGAATAAAAACATCCAACATTAAAACAGTGGTGCTCAATCAATTACTAAACGTAAGTCCAAGATGACTCAGCTCAATATGTGTTGATCAGATTAGAAGGAAGGAGACAAGCAAAGCCATAGCCCCAAGGCAACAACCGTCACCAAAAGCTGTGGTACCACCCCAGGTAATCAGGGGAGCAGTGACACCACACTTTGCCAAATTCGCCAAATCTACTTTCTAAGTTGGTCTGAGGTGACAGAAGCATATGGAGTATATTTAGATTTCCTGGGGACTCTGGGCAGTTGGTTGATATAAGGTATTTATCTATGATCCAAAGATTATTTTTTTTAAATGCTGCCTTTCATGGTCTCTTAGACCTATGCTGTACTTGGATTGAGGATTAAGCCTCCTTCCACCCTGTTAATGGCTGGTAAATGAGTCATTCTGCCACCTTTATCATCTATTCATTCGTATGCATTGTCAAGCCATGGCAAAGCTGAAGGGAGGCTTTGAATAAGAGTACTTCCCAGCCCCTGACAATATCATCCCTAGACTACATGGTGGGAAGTACAGAGGTTTCCTGTAGATGAGTAGTCTAAGAACTATTGCTACATATTTATTTGGTATAGTTATCTTCAGAACTGTATAAAACATGACAGCAAGATTGTCTCGGACAACAGAGTTTACAATCTTAGGCAGAAAAAGAAGGTGAAGAGGGGACAAATGACAGTTTGGATAAGGTAGAGGTGGGTTAACTGCTCATACAAAGCACATAAAAAATGAGACTGTAGTGATTCAAGAAAGGTTTGCGGAGGAAAGTTTCGATGTCACATTTCAGGAGAAATGGCTTAGAGAATAGAAAATGGTAAGCTGTTCCAGGAGCAGAGAGCAGAATGGAGCAGAGAGCAGAATAGAGCGGATAAAAGGAAGTACTTCTTCACCCAAAGAGTGATTAACACATGGAATTCACTGCCACAGGAAGTGGTGGCGGCTATAAGCATGGACGGCTTCAAAAGGGAATTAGATAAGCATATGGAGCAGAGGTCCATCAGTGGCTATTAGCCACAAGGTATAGATACGGGCTCTGGGGCAAGTGATGCTCTGTATTCTTGGTGCTTGGGGGGGGGTCAACAGTGGGAGGGCTTCTAATGTCCTGGCCCCAATGGTGGACCTCCTGATGGCACCTGGTATTTCTGGCCACTGTGTGACACAGAGTGTTGGACTGGATGGGCCTTTGGCCTGATCCAACATTGGCGTCTCTTATGTTCTTATTAATGACTGAACCCCTCACCCTCAAAAAAGAGTAAAGAAAAGGAAATGGAATAGGACATTTATCCACAAGTTGACCTCATATTGTTACTTTCCAGGGTCTCACCCAGTACCTGATCCTTTTAACCAGGGATGTCAGGAATTGAGTCTGGGACTTCCTGAATGCAAAGCAGATGCTGTGCCACTGGACCATGGCCTCTCCACCACAGTAGCTGGTCCTGAGACCGAAAGGGGCCTACAGAGGAGGCCTGATCAATAAAATATTCAAGGTGTGCTTGTGTGATCAAGTAGGCAGCATTGTTATGGACCATGGCAAGCATACAGTCCTCACTGAACTCATCCCGTTCTTTTCTGTTGGAGACGACAGACAGTTGATACTGCCGTTGAAGAGGAAGGCACTAAATGACATGACAGTGAAGATCAATCTACTTCCTGAGCAAAGCTCCAGAGGTATAACCACTGCCATGCAGAGGAATAAGCTCAGGTCCCCAACCCACAGTATAGCAGCTCTTCAGCAAACATGTATTTAGCAATGCCCTTTTGATGGAAATGTAAGTCTGGAGAGGCAGCATATGAATTCACTAAACAAACAAACAAACAAAGTGTTTGTGTCTTTATTTTAAATAGGTTCTGTATCTCTAAGATGTCATTTTCAATTTAAAGGCCTCCTTTATCACACAGATCAGCAGTCCACAAACTTTAGAAAGGCAAAGACCTGATAAAGTTCATGTGCGGCAAGCCACATGTCCACCACCTTGCATTCGCCAAAAACAAACAAACAAACAAACAAAACCCAGTAAGACCATGATCAGGCAATGTAAAGAACATTAAAAAAAAAAAGCTTGTATTTGCTGTGCATGGCCTACAAGGTCAAGTGTCAGAAGGAAGATGATTCATAGTGTCACAACTCAAACAGCCCCGACCCAAGTTCTTTAATTCAAGGAACTTTGTGCAAGGGATAAAGAAACTTCCTTCTTGGTCAATAACCATTAGGTGAAGGCCTGCTGAAAAGGGATAGGAAGACATGAAGATTTTTTTTCACATTTTACTCATAAAAAGAGCAGTACCATACAAAACCTGAACTTCCAGTATTCAGTTTCAGAGTGTATTCCCACAGAGCGGCATCTCCCCTGCCCCGTGATGAAATCATTTGCACTGGAAAATTGAGTAAAACCCAGTTCAGTTTGATATCAGAAGTAGCTATGAGTACTACAGTAGGACTGTACCTCCTTGGTGACACTCAAACAATTAGAAATCTTAGGCTTGAATTATCAGCTCTTGGCAACTAATCAGTATATTTTCTGGCTAGTGCTTTGATGGCCAATTTAGAAAATAATGTGTCCACGAGTCTGCACAGGGACTCGCGGGCATTTGTAGGTGAGAATTCCTGGTGAAAACTTTTCACAGTGCCATAAGGGCCCAATTCAGTGTGGCACTGTGGCATGGGGGAAGAAAGGCTCCTGCCTTCCCTCCACACTGTTTTCCTGGGCTCCATAATGTCCCCAACATCATCGTTTTGGGTATGGGAAAAGCAGGAGTCCCTTCTCCCTGTGTGCCCTCATCTCACAACTCACTGGTCCTCCCCCCCACAGCAGGCCCGGAGCCAGGACTTTTTAAATCTGGTGGGCCTTTAAATAAGTCAGGGGCACCCCTGCACACCCCCGCCCAAGTGAGCAGCCCCGCTCCTGCCTTTCCCTGCAAGCCAGATATACAATAACACAAGGGGTACAGCAATAAGGAGTAACAAGTAATGGAAAATTGCTGCAAACGTGCATACAAATAAATGACAATAATATAAGCACTTAAACTTGTGATGCTCTCATGTTGTTTTAATTCTTGTTTCCAGCATCGAAGTGCCAAACCAACACAATAGTGGCGTGGAGACGAGCAGATTACGAACCTCTCGAGTAACACCGTTCGTTTCGATACAATTCTTTGTCAAAATCTCCTATGCAAGAATAACAATGAATCAATATCTTTTCTAAGATAAAGGGACTAACAATTCTGGTGGAGTATGTAATAATACAAAGACTTAACATACAATCTTCCATGGTCTTCATATATTACTCTTCACAAAATGGAAATCCTAAATCCTACAATAAAACAATTTATAAAAGTCTCAATATCTTGTGGTCATTTTAAAGAGCATACATCTCAATGCATAATAAAGACCCATGTAAATCTTACCCAAATGCTTCCTCAGTGGCTCACAGCATACAGTATCAAAGGTAAACTTACATCGGACAAACAGTCTTAATGAGTCATCTACATGTTCCCATTTTTAAGGTACATTCTAGGTCATGTGCTATCAGGATGCCAACTTATCTAATTTAAGAAGTTACTGCTGTGCATAGAGGATGTACAGACAGCTACCTTATCCACGAAGTACATAGTGCGGCTCAACTAACTACATGTTAATTCATAACAGTAAATGCATTCCCGGAGACGCAGAGTAAAAGATGGTTCAGTCTGCATACAGTCATAAGCAAGATATCCAATTAACAAGATCACCTCAGATGGAAGGATCCAGGCAACACTTAGATCTTATTAAAAACATGCAAGTTCCAATGCAGCA